ATCCTCTTCTGTGCTACACAAGACATAGTGATCAAAACGTACTCAGCTTCCAATGTAATTACAAGCATGTATGTGTGTGGCCCATTGTACCAATGTTATTACCGCCACAAGCTCTCACATGTGTATGCATACAAATACGTTCAGATGTGTAGATGTAAACGCAATTCAATATAATACAGCAATGTCGCTTCGTGCCGCGCACATTGGTTCTTCAATATCGGCTCACGGGCGGAATGAAAGATAGGTAACTTAGTAAACACAGCGGCAACTCAGTGTCGCCATTGGGTCGTCGTCGTCATCAGGGTGTGCAACTCCTTCTCCTTCCCTCATATCTCCACTTCAGCTCCCTCGTTCTCGCCTTACCCTGCGAACCCTTCCCCGTCATCCTCAGTTTTTTGTGGAGGCTCCTCCTTGGAAAGCCATTTGGAGGCCTCGCGAAACCTTTTTGGGGTGTTCTTGGGAGCTTCTGGAAGCATCGTGGGCGCCTATGGGAGGCCTTGGGGCTTCCTCGGGCCACATTGCTGCGAACAACGGTCTCCCTCGACGGCCTGGTAACAAATTGTAGTGCTTCTGGGGGCGTCTTGGGGCCATGTTGGGCAATCATGGGGCACTCTTCGGACCACCTTGAGGCCCTGTTGAGCCGTCTTCGGGCTCTCTTGGATTATCTGCAGGCTCTTTCGGGTCGTTTTGGGAAGACGTTCGGGGCCTCTTTGGCGTTCTCGGACGCGCTTGGAACACCGAATAACCGAGTATCCAAAAATAATTGTGGGGATAGCATGTGGGCATGTTTTTTGCTATAGCGTGGGGATGGGGATGCCTATTGGAGTTGTTCTGTGGGCCATCTTCGAGCGTCTGGTGGGTGTCCAGGCCGCTTGGCCACCCTTCTGACCGCTTTGGGCCCGCTGGGGAGGCCCAGCAGCAGGGACATGCGCGATGCCCAGAAGTCCGGGGGACCCTCTGCAACGGCGCCATCAGGGTCCTTGAGGATCCGGACGGTCTGGCTTTGGCGGGAGGGGGTTCCCCACCCCCCTGGATGGCAAACATATAAAAGTGGAGTGGCAATCATCCGAACGAGACAACCACATGGGGCAACCACGGGCAACAGAATGGGAAAACTGTAGAAAACAACCGCGCGCCAAGTGGGACAATCACATGCGACAACCGCGGGATCACCGCACGGGACAACCGAGTGGCAACCGCACGAGCAACCACAAGACAACTACAAGACAAACGCGCAGGACAACCGAAAAACAACTATCACCTGACAGCAACGGGACAGTCACGGCAACTACGCGCCAGCCAGGGGGGGGAGCCGATCTGGCCTCTCGCCCTCAAGCACCTTCGCCTCGCCCGCATGCGCGACAAGAACGAACCGAGACCGAGATCGGTTTCCCTGTGGGGGGGGCCTCCGATTCACGTCTGCCCCACCCACGTCTCCGACGGATAAATTCTTTGTGCCTACTGTCGATTCTTTGCCGAACTAGTCTTTCCGATTCTACTTCCGTGTTGGTGGAGCTGAGCCCAGGCATGCTCGACAGTTACTCATCCTAGGCACGAGCGATTGCGGCAACGCCGAGCGGGCCCCCCCGTTTTGCCCCGTAGACTGCTAACAGGACCTCTTTCGGCCTGGCTGGGTGGGAGAGCTTCCTAAGCTTCTCTCTGGTCCCAGTAATAAGATATGGTCGAAACTCAAAATCGGATAACAGATTTCCCCTGTTAACCACACGAAGAAGAACTAACTCCGGCTACTCTCAGTCTCAACTCAAGCTCTCCCCGTACGAAAGCACAGCGAGAAAATCACTCCGGGGCGAATGCTCATTCCTGCGGACAGACGCGTCCTGGTAGTCAGGATGAATACATGCTCGTAGCGGGAATGTGAGGTGCTGCAACGCCCAAGAGGAAAGGACGGTACGGGCGCTCGAGATGCGATATTTTTCACAGCGCGATCTCGAAGGCCCGCCTCCGTGCCAACAACATGCACCATGGCAACCCCACAGAGCATGGCGCTTGTCTGGGGACAAGCGGGCAGGAGACGAAGGGCGAGAGAGGCAGCACTGGCAACGAGGCGTTAGGACTGAGAGCCAGTCCTTACCACACGCGTCGTCCGAGCAGATGCTGCAATGCCCATTCCTCGAATCCCACCAGCCCTCTGGGCGTCGGTGGTTTAGGGCGTTTCCTTTTCCACCCCTCCTTCTTCCCCTCCGCGGAGGGGTTTACCCCTCTCCCTACCCCCTCCCCATGGACCTGGACAGGGGTTTCGCGAGTCGTCCGAGCGTCCAAAACGGCCTCGGCGAGGAAGCCAAAATCATTGTTTCACTAAGGTTTGGGCCCCATGTTGGCCTCCCGAGGGGGGGACTGTAATCCGTAACCCCCCCTCCTGTGGTCGATCTCACCCAAGATGGCCCAAAGATGGCCCCCAAGGCTCCCAAGGGTGCCCCAAGAGGGCCCCAAGAGGTGGCCAGGAAGCCCCAAGAGGCCCCCAGGATGCCCCCAAGAGGCTCCCAAGAGACCCCCAAGAGGCCCCAAGAGACCCCCCAGAGGCACCCAAGATGCTCCAAGAGGCCTCGGCGAGAATGCCAAATCATTGATTTTACTAAGGTTTCAGCCACATGTTGGCCTCTTGGGGGGGGGCACTGAATACGATGACTCCAAGCGCGCCTGGGAGAGCCCAAGATGACCTCCAAGATGGCTCAAGATATCCCAAGATGTCTCATAATATCTCCCTCTGTGTGCTGCCCACTTCCCTGATCGAGGCAATCCCTCTGGGCATCGTTTCTGGATGGGCTGGTGGGAATTCAATGTGAAGCGTCAACAATTGGATTTTCCTGGCAATCCACGTCGAAAATTTGCCCATCTCTCTTTCGAGCGGGCCGGCTGCGCCGAGCGCAGTCAGCGAAAGATCCCTCGACCAGGGTATGCGTCACCCTAATTAGCCGGGGGCGGCCCAAGTCCAGCACCGCTGCAACAAACCGCTCGCGTTTACAGCTTCGAGCCCCGTGGCACGCACGGCGTGCTGATGAAGGATGTTAGCTGCGCGCAGAATGGTGCAAAGCGAAGGGGGACGCCTTCTGAGATGGCGAAGGGCCTCCTGGACGGGTCCTTCCGGCATGGGCAAGACTCAAGACTGCTTTCAAAGTGACCTGGTCTGATGATGTGTGCCAGGGGGCGCCTCCCCTGCCCCACTCCACTAAGTGGAACTGTCGTCGCCCGAAGAACGTAGCCACGGCAAACCTGGCTTGGTGATTCCGACGCATTTGTGCTGCTGCAGGGCCCCAGCACTAACCAGCTCCCCTTGCCCCGGGCCCTGGTCATGCCCGAGGCCTGCCCAGGCGGTGAAGTGGTGAGAAGAAGGCCCCTCGGGAGGCAGGTGGGCCTCCGAGAGGCGGGGTGCCGGGTGCCTCCTGAGCGCCCCCTCTGCCCCGCCATCTGGTGCGCGCTGGCGAGAAGGATGGCCGAGGGATCACGGGAAGAGCTGGGGCAGAGGAACTGTGGCCCTTGCGGTCGGGAGCTTTTGCCTAGCGTGCCGCGGCTTCGTCCTCGGCGACTCCTCATATGCCCTGCAAGCGGATGGCGTGTCGCTCCGCTCCGCGGGGCGGGAGGCTCGGAAAGGCTCGGGCGTTGACGCCTGGGGACTGGGAAGCGGACAGCGTGTCGCGCCGCAGCGTGGTGGGCCAGAACCAGCAGATTCTACACGCTATCCAAAGTTCCCGACCATAGTCGCCCGGAAGGGGACCCATCGGCTTCGACACCCATCTAAAGAGATTGTCGACGCGATGCGCTGCCCCAGGCGGGTAAGGAGCACAACTCCACCAGGTGTGGCTGGTCGGGAAACCAACTCCACCACCGCCGTGTCCCCTGGCAAGTTGTGGCATGGTGGCTTGCCGAGTGCCGCCTGGTAAGGTTTCTGTCAATACTCTAAAGCTCCTCCCGCTCTCCCCACACATTTTCATGCACCCACCCACACCTCCCGAGGCTCCCAGGGCACCCCGACGCCTCACCAGGTTCCTTCACGGCGCTCGCAAGACAGTCCAGGGAGGCCACTAATGCCGCCAAGATGGTCCAACATTGCCTCATGAGGCGCCCACAAGCGTACAAGAAGATCCCAATGGGCGCCAGAAGGGGCCTAATGCGGCTTCCAAGACTCCTAAAAGAAGGCCCAGAAGCCTCCCAGGAAGGCCGAAGTCATTTCAAAATCGTAGGGCGTCCTAAATAAGATGATGGCCCGCGCCTCCAAAGATGGGCCCAAGAAGGCCTCCGAGGAGCCACAAGGGGCCCAAAAGAGGCTCCCGAGGGCTCCTAGAGGCCCCCCAAGACGGCCCAGGGCAGCCCGAAAGGCGCTCCTGGACGGTCCAAAGGGGCTCCGAGACAGCCCAATATGACCCCAAGACAGCCCCAAGAGGGTCGCAAGACAGCCCCCAGAGACTCTTCAGACAGCCAAGAGGGGACCAAGACGACCCTCCAGGAATAGAGAAGCGAGGTACTCGAAGCGTCGCTATACGGAGTGGTGCGCTGACATGGAGCCGGAACTTGCCGCAAGCACCTGGATGTTGTCAACCTCGTCGCCGCCGATCGCAGACGCGCTAACCCTGGTCAGCACTAACCCGGGTCAGCCAAGGCCGCGTCGCCAACCCGAGCAGGCCGCACAAGTGGCTCCCAGACCCGGGTCGGCGGAGGGACGCCAGGGCAGGCCGGCTCCAAGGTGCTGCCCAGGCTCGGGATCAGTCAGAAGGGATTGCCGCAGCACCGTGAGCGCGGACCCCAGCTGCTCGGAGGAGGGCCGATTGAGCCAACGGCGGCTCTCCCGCCCGGCCCCGATCCCCTCGAAGTCGGGCCACGGACCCCGGGTCCCTCCCGACCCGCTCCTCCGGGCGGATGCAGCCGCGGCGACGAGGAGCCTCCGAGGGGCCCCACGGGGGGGGGGGGGGGGGGGGCGAGATACGCCCAGGGAGGGCCGCGGGTGCCTCGGCGGGCCCTCCTCCGACGCACCGCGCGCCCCGAGCCTACACCATCGCCGCCCAGCCGCCGGCTGGGCGGGGCGGGGGGCTGCCAGCGGGGGCGCCCGCTGCCGTGCGGCGCCTCTTGAGCTCGCGCTGCTCGGCTGGCGGGCCAGGCTGGCGCGCGTCCTCGCTGGGGGCGGCGGCCTGCAGCCACCTGTGGCCAGCGGCCTGGGCCACGGTGATGCGCGCCCTCGGGTCAACCGTCAGCAGGCGGCGCACCATGTCCTGGGAGGGCGCGAGCTGCGCACCTGCCCTGAGATCTGGGCGCTGCAACGGAGGCGTTTTCGCCCAGTTTCGGGCCCCCGGGGCCACCACAGATCGATGTGGCTCGGTCAAGGCCGCAAAAAGATGGGGGTACAGGACTCTGGTCATGATTTTCGTGGTGTTGGATTTTTTCGCGACGTCGGATCTCAGGGTGCACCGATCCTGGCCAGGCCCACTCATGTAAACGAGCTCTATACACCGACGCTTTCTCCGACCCTGCGCTGAAATTCGCACAGGAACGAGGATCCTGGTGTATACGGGATCCTGGTGTATACGCTTCTCGTTGTTTCCCTTGGAAAACGGGGGAGAAGTATACACCACACCACCCCGACGTCGTCCCCGACCCTCAAAAAGTCGTGGGATTGAAACAAAGCCCGCCACTGGTAATGTATATGCTCCAGTTTCCGATCACGGGCCCAGGATGGGTGCATGTACGCCCTCCCGGCTCGGCCAGGAGGGCCTTGAGGCCGACCCTGCGCCCAGGATCGGCCTGGCGAGGATCGGTGTGTTTCGGCGAGGTCCGATGTATGTCCTTCGCCTCGTCGGACACGGCGAGGAACTGTGGCACGTCGAAGTCGTAGCGGCCCGCCAGGATGTGCTGGTAGAGGAGCCCCCCGTCCTCGTCGAACGGCGGAACGCCGCTGAGCATGATGTACAGTATGACGCCGAGGCTCCACAGGTCCACCTGCCAGAAGGCTCAACGCCAACATCGAAGACGGAGGAAGTGGGTCGGAATCGAGAGAAGCCGTTGTGATGCGGAATCCGCGGGTCTCGTCTCTGCCGGGAGCGCGAGCGGAAACGAACGGAACCCTCGAGGAGCTCGGCCCGACTCGCCGGGGAAGCGCGGCGCTACCCACCCTTACCTTCCTCCCTCCCCGCCCTGGCCTTCCCACTCCCATATGACCCTTGAGCTCCCTCCCTGCCTCCTTCCCCCGTCTTCCATCCCCCCCGTCCGCACTCGGAAATGACGCGAGGATGAACCTCCGACCTATTGGCCTTGGCCGCCGTCCTGACATCCCCTTGAGTTCCCCGAGATGACCCTCGGCAGCCCTCTTCGAAGGTATGTGATTAATAATGTAATGCGGTGGATGAAACAGATGCTTCGTGTATGGCGGTGTCTAAGAGCGAGCGGTATGCGTGTCAACAAAACGATTTCGACATAGAGCCCATGGGGGGCCATCCCGGAGAAAAGCATTCCCGGGGCGCGCAGGGAGCTTGGCTTCCGCGGGAGAAAGAAAGACATCCTTGGCGAAGGGGTCGAAATCGACATTCTACAATGTATCAGTATTCCTTGATCGCGATTATAGAAAACGCTATCCTATATAATCGCCCTTGATTCCAAACTCAAGAGTCGATGTACTGTTTCCTTACCCCCCATTCGCAATTCGATAAGACTAGTTGTGCTGCCTGACCAGGTGCGCTCTAGGAGCAGCTGCGCGCTGGCACAAGATGGTGCCAGCTGTACCCACATACCAGGTGTTGTCTAGCTGGAGTGGTTGTAGGGTTCCAACGGCATTACGCGCACGGAAGAAGGACACAAGTCCATGCGCCACCAAGGGCCCCGTGTTTAACGACTCGCCGCGATGGTGCCCCCCCCCGCGGAAGGAAAAACAAACATCCGGCTGGGGGAGGGGGGGTCGGGCATGAGTCGCGGAGGCGATCTGTAGAGCGGGCGTGGAGCATGGCCAAGCTTGAGCCACGCGCCCATGACTGAGCCCTGCTCCCTTCCATGCTGCAAGCATGCTGAATGCCCTGCCACCAAATTACCTACCGTTCGATTGTGGTGCTTAAGCGGGTCCGTTGTGCCCCGTTGGCCAGACCACCAACAACACACCCGGGGCTGACTAAATTACGGGTTGAACGAACCTTCTATTGACCAAATGTTTCATGCAACATGCACACACAAAATGGCAGACTAACCGGGTTCGGCATGTCCGGTAATGGAAGGGCGCGTTAGCCCCCAAGACGCCAACCGCCAAGACATTTTTTTACGGCGCCCGTGGCAGGGATGTAATTACTCCTACCATTGCCCATGGGACCAACCAAAGTACGTCAGCCAACCCCTCCGACAATTGCAGCAGACGGTTGACCATGCAAGCGGCCTTTCAACTCACCTGCTGCTTCTCGAACACAGCTCAAGAGAACAACCTCTCATCAACGTGGCTCACAATGCCGCACTGTGCAAACGCAGTTCGCCCTACGCGGAGTAGCTCACTACTTCGATTCGCGAGTGTTTCGCCTGCGTCCGCAATCTGGTCACCCGTCATTCCCGCCCTTGGCGAGGTCGCTGTAGCTGGAGCTCGATGCGGCCTTTTTGTTGCGTTTCTCACTTAACCTCGCTGTGGGGTGGACGTGAACAAGCTTGCCCTCCATGACGTCGAAGATGACTTCTCTGACGATGTTCCTTCTCGTCATGGGGCCCGCTCGCACGTCGCGGGCGTCGCGCCGCGGCGTGTCGGATAGCTGTCTGGTGCGGAGCTGGTCCGCTAGCCACCGCAATTGGCCTGCCCTGCCGTTCCCCGTTGGCGGGCGCACGTGGTCCATGGCCAAGGCCGAGAAGACGGACGTGCCGTCTGCGACCAGCTCGGCCGGCATGGCGCACCCCCCTCCTCCCTCAGCCTCCTGATATCGTCTGCTGAGGCGGGTCCTCGCGCCGCCGCGCGGCGCGCATGGAGGCGCGCCCGTTGCCAGCCTGCTGCTCCACGTGCCGCGAGCAGCTCGGGGCCGAATGGCGAACGCACGCGTTTGTGCGATCGGCTCACAGCGTCGAGCAAGTGGCAGATCTGTTAGCAGTGCAGCGACACTTGCCCAGACGAATGTACATGATGCCTCTCATTCCGCATCCTGTCTCCTCCTCGCGCTCAAGGAGCCGTCGCGGCGCGCGCAAATCTTGCTGGCGCACCCCGTCGCGTTTTGATCTTCTGCGTGGCCAGAACAACAGCGTTGAACTGCATGGTGCGCCTGCTGAGCAGCTTGCTCTCGGCCGCGCGCAGCGCGACGGCGCAGCGCTCCAAGGAGCGAGACAAAGAGGTCAAGGAGTGGACTCTTGGCCAGCTCGTCGGCCTTCGACTTGACCAGGCCGACGTGCCTGGCGGGGATCAGCGCGTCGATGTACTCGTCCTCGTCGAGCATCGCGACGCCGTCGGCGCTGCGGCTGCGGCGTTGGTAGACGCCGCAGTTGGTGAAGTCGTCGTAGTCCCCCGTCATATTGCCGAAGACGCTCTCGACGCGGCCGATGAGACGGTCGACGGGCGGGGGGCCCACGCGCCCCCGGCCTTCGAGCACTCAGCGCGGACAAGAAGGCATTGCAACGCGCAGCACGCAGCACTGCAATCTCCGGAGGAGCAGGGAAGCGGAGGAGGAGGAGGAGCCAAAACCAGCACGGGCACCCATTGGGCCCACTCGAACTCACAATTCTGCCACAAAGCCAATCACTAATGAGTTTTTCCAATCCAGCACATTTGTAGCAGCGATGAATATCGTCCAAGTCTTTTCCTGATAAACGCGAACGCCCGGAAAATGCACGCCCTCGGAGTCGCATGAAATCTGGACGATGCGTCGATAGAGTTGGCGAGGGGGCCCGGGGGGGGCAGCGGCCAGGCGCGTCGAGGCGCGCTTCGCCGCAACCTTCAGGCCCTGGCAGAAAATGTCAAAGTTGGGAGAAGACCCCTCAGCACTCAAACTCCTGGCTCGCAGCGATCGCCTTCGCTTTCTCGAAATCGTCGCGCTTCCGAGCGAGGCGATGGATTTTGGTTTGCAGCGCTTCCCCCTGGACATCGATGTTCGGTGAAATCGAGCGGCGCAAAGAAAGGGCGTTGCATGTGTTGGCCAGCAACGAGCTAGCATTCCACCCGCGGTGCCAACGATGCGGGGCGTGCTCGAGATCGTCGCGATCACTCTGGAGCAACGCCAGAGAGGTATCCGCGGCCTTCGAACGGAGAGCAAGGCGAGCACAGGCGGCCTTTGCGGTAGCAAAAAGATCGAGGAACTCCACTCCCAGGCCAGTGCCGTGGAGCTGCGTGGCAAGCTCGTAAGAGATCGCATATCGAGGGCCAACCGTGAGCAGCAACGCCCTTTCCTTGAAACTGCTGATAAGCTTGCCGCTGACAGGGCACAGCTGCAGACGATATTGTAAGAGCGCGACACACATGACACGACCTGCAACGGCAGAGAGATCGAGACCAATCCCCATGGCTCGGGCGAGGCGGACCCGGCTCCTGAATGCGGGGAAAACCGAGCCCCAGACATGCAAGTGCCCGTCGGGCCCAATGGGGACTCCCAAATGCACCGCCCCAGAGCCCGCGGTAAGTTTGTCCGCGGGATATCCAGTGTCCTTCAGAACCGATTTCAAGATACTTAGGTCCATGTCCCCGCAGCCTACAATCTGACGCTTGCCGAAATCGAGGGCCAAGTTCGCAGCGTCTGCGAACTTCTGGGGGCCCGCCGAAACAGGCCCGATATCAAGAAGGGGATTCTTCTCAATGCCGAAGCGGAAGTCATCGGCACACGCGAGACTGATACTGCCGCTTGGGGCAGCAGTATGTCTGGGCCATCGCAGGAGAGGGTCCGTCGCTAGCGCGCGCAACGGCATGGATACAGGGCAGCCATGATTGACCCCAGACTGAATTAAACTGCTGCCCAACAATCACAATGGCACCAGCGTTGCCCCGGTGCGTCATGTCAAAGAAGCTCACAAGGAAGGGCGGCAGGCCCATGCAAGAGAGCACGCGAAAACAACCGAGCAGATGCAAGATTGAAAAGCGGCCGAGAAGGCTGCGAGGAAGAGAGGCGCGCAAGGGATACCCTGCACGCGTCTTCTGATACCCCACGACGCAGCCTGAACAACATGCGACATCATCTCTCCCTTTTCAGACATGCTTGGTCACGGTCCACGAGATGAGCGAGGTTCTCATTCGTCGTGATGATGAACGAATTTGCAATCAACTTAACATCCGTATTGTTCATGCTCAACGGGCGAATGCAGGACGGATGGCGAATCAGTCCCACCCCGTCCACTGGGCCTCGCGGACCCGTGCCCTTCGGGGGAGAGATCAGCAAACTCTGGCGCGTGGCAAGCGGGAGAGAGGGCGCCTGGTCTGAAACAAAAGGTTGCACAAACATCGCGCAGCAATCTTGCCGCTTCAACGTTCCTCAAAGCAGCGCGCGGGATGCCATCTGGGCCAGACGTATTCCGGGGTCTCTCGAGGATCACTTCGCACCAATACTGCAAGGGAGCTTCCAGTCCATCTTCAGTGGCCCCGAAAACGCCTGGATGATCGGGTCGATTCCCTGCCAAGAATCCGCTTGGACCTCAGGCTGCGAGCAATCATGGCCCCGGCGCTTTTGAATGGCCTCGGCAGGCACTTTCGCGCGCGGCAAAGGGTTCTCCTCGTCGTCGCAGATCCCCATGAGAAACGTCCTCCGACGGAATCTCCTCCAGAGCTCTTTCCGCCGTGAGTTGCGAGCAAGCATGCAGCATGCCCTTCCTCCGCTCCTCCTCCACATCGGCTTTCTTCATCTCCCTCTCCTCCTCCCAAAATATCTGGCCCAAAAAAGCCTGCGCGTGCTGGCGCAAACCGTCGAAGTGGAGTCGCGTCTCCAGGCCATCAGAAAAGCGAGCGCGGAGCCAGGTGCAGCGACGAAGTGCGAGTTCAAGCCGGCGGCGCTGGCCAAGGCGAACCGCGCAAAAGGCACCCAGAGCACAGAGATGCCTTTCCTGAACGGTTCTCGCATCTCGGAAACGACGGGCAGACCGCGCCGCGACGGCAGCCTCATGGAAACAGTCTTTCACATAATCGAGCCTGTTCCAAGGATCCGACTCCGAAGGAATTTGCTGAAGTAGGCCGTCCAGGGCCTTTCGAAATTCGGGGAACGCCGTGATCCATGGGGCAACCGTCTGAGAACAGTCATCAGGTTTGAAGGGCCCCAAGGAGGCTACGACAGGGATATGTCACTACACATGCATGTCTGCAACGTGCCCAGAGTGCACGCGCGCACAGTAAGATCACGATGGCGACCAGGAAGACGGGAGGTGTGAATCCGATCGATCCTAGAGGTCGACGAAACAACAACTTGTATTTTACCACAGCGGGTGTTCTGGTCCTGGTAGATTTCATTCAGCTTCGGGAAAAACGTGTCTCATAAACGAAAAACGAGCGGCATCCCTAGGAGTGAAGGTTCCCGCATCTCCACACAGACGCCCCTCGTGCTCGAGGACAAAGTTGAAATCACCAAGCAGAATACAGTGCGCATGCATCCCATCTCCACCAAGAATGTGGAGTCGCATGTCCTGACGAAGCCTGGAGAGAACAACTCTGAAAGTCGGCACGGGGTCACTGGTGTCGGGACAGTGGACGTTGTGGATGATGAGGCTACCCCTGGGATTACAGAGGATACTTTGAGAATACGGCCCTGGATGAGTTCCGCATGCCGTATTTCAGTAAACCGACTGGTAAGGCGTGGAGACAGAGACGTGATGACCCCGCCGTCGCGGTTGGAGTCACGGGAAGAAAAGCCGAACTTGTGCGGCGGAACTCACATTCAAATGTGTTAATGTCGCCGATGTGGCCGTGTGTTTCTTGTGTCACAACAGTGTCATGTGTCTTAACCATGTTAATGTATCTGAGGTAGCGGGAAGTGGCCATCTTACTCCAAGTTCCCACGGATGTCAGCAACGCCTAACAGTTCCAGGTGCAAACGGGAAGCGGGAAGTCGGGGAAGAAACTATACAATACACATGTATTCGGCCCAGACAAGGGAGGAGGGGAAGAGGGATCTGCCAGACTATTGGTGCAGTCCGCATCAGCGTCGAGAGGGCCGCTGGAGCTGCACCTGTGCTGCGTTTTCGATCCAAGTTGCGTGCTGCGAAAAGCCAAGCTCGAGCAAAGCATCGCGGTCGAGGCATCAGGAGACGGCCCCTTGGTCATCCACTGTCACGGCTGCAACCTGCACCGGGTCATGCGGGCCTCGAAACACATAGACACGGGTGTGCGTGTGTGCGTGTGCGTGTGTGCGTGTGCGCGTGTGCGTGTGTGCGTGTGTGCGTGTGTGCGTGTGTGCGTGTGTGCGTGTGTGCGCGTGTGCGTGTGTGCGTGTGCGTGTGCGTGTGCGTGTGCGCGTGCGCGTGCGCGTGCGCGTGCGCGTGTGCGTGTGCGTATGCGTATGCGTGTGCGTGTGCGTGTGCGTGTGCGTGTGCGTGTGCGTGTGGGGGTGCGTGTGCATGTGCGTGTGTGCGTGTGTGCGTGTGTGCGTGTGTGAGTGTGTGCGTGTGTGCGTGTGTGCGTGTGTGCGTGTGTGCGTGTGTGCGTGTGTGCGTGTGTGCGTGTGTGTGTGCGTGTGTGCGTGTGTGCGTGTGTGCGTGTGTGCGTGTGTGCGTGTGTGCGTGTGTGTGTGTGGGGGATACGTCTTCGGGGCCCGAAGATTTCAACATGTTGTAATATCAGATTTCCTTTGCACCACCATCGTCCGCACAAACACTAATTCTCAACAAGCTCAAGTTCTGTGCACAAGTTTGTGCAAATCCGATGGTCGTTCCTACTCCTGCTCCCCTCTTTGCCTTCGCTTCCTCCCTCTTCGTCTTCCTCGTCGTCGTCGTCGTATCCTCCTCCTCCTCCTCCTCCTCCTCCTCCTCTTCCTCCGTTCCCCCACTTCGTTCACATGCTCGTCCCCATCCCCTCCCCGCCTCCGCCTCCTCCTCCTCCTCCGCCTCCGCCTCCTCCTCCTCCTCCTTCCTCCCTCTCCGCCTCGCTGTCGTCATCATCCTTCTCTTCTCCTCCTCCTTCCTCCCGTATTCCTCCTCCTAATCCGCCTAATTCCTGCCCGTCCTCCCCATTGTCGCCGTCGTCGTTGTCCTCCTCTGGCGCCATAATCTCTTTCACCTTCGAGCCTGCTTGCCGTAGCCGCCTGGTGGCACCCCCTCAGCCTGGTTGCGCAGAGTGTCCACCAACTCTGGCGCGAAGTACTGCGGCGTGCCGCAGAACGTGCGGCAATCGCGGGACTTCAGGATCGTCCGCGCCAGGCCGAAATCCGCGATCTTCGAGTGGGCATCCTCGCTCGGACGCGTGAGCAATATGTTGTCTGGCTTCAGAGGGGGGGACTTGTTGTTGAGGCGGTACCCGATCTCGGAGTTCCGCCTCGACATCTCCCCGTCGGTCAGCTCAAGGCTGCAGGCAGGGAGTCGTACATGGCGCGGTCCAGGAAGATCATATGATAATCCGTATCCGCTTCCGTACTCGCATCTCCGTCACATGGTGTGTCCATGATGCTCTTTGTATGTCTACTGTCAATCCCCTGGCACCGACGAGAGCACCCTGGTCGACGACATGATATGTTGAGAGAAAAGTTCTTCTTCATTGAGAAAAGTATGTGTCGAGAACTCGATCTCCAGTTCTGCTGATTGGTCTCCTCGATCCAGTTCGCATTTGCTGTATGCCTATACGTTGAAAGTTGCTGCCAGTCTTTCAATGTCATATCTCCTAGAACGTTGGGTCGCCCTGGACACGTCTTTGATGCGTGATGCCAAGATATCGTAACGTCGTCCTCCTTCTCTTGAGTCCGTGCCAAGTTGATTGTGAGCCTGCATCTCGCACACAATAAGGTCGTAGAACTCGCTGAATTGAATGGGGTCAAGAATAGATGCGTGTCAGTGTCCATCCGTGCTTCGATATTGTGGAACAATCTCTTCTCTTCCTTTCGCTTGTGAAAGTTTGGCAGTCGTGCAAGGAGTTGTCGATCAGCGTCGGAAAAGGAATCTGCGTGAGTCGTTCGTAATGTATTGTGAAAAAGACGTGTCCTGTTCTGAGTCCGTGCCGTTCTCATAGCCGAAGATCCGTCTTGTACTGGAGGATGTTGCTTGCCTCGTAATCGTCGATGTCGGTCCCTCCGTAGGTCACCTTTCCACACCGGCGTCACTTGACTTGCAGGAAATATGATCTGTGCCCATGGAGTGGTTGTCGGCTTCTTCATATGCTCCACGGCCATGTTGAAAAAGAAGGAATTCACAGCGTCTGGCTGGAGTAGTCGGAGGCGTCCGTGAAATCCTGTCGATATTTTTAGTCCAAGTGGATACAGCTGGCGGCATTCCTTGACAAGCTGGAATACACTCTGGCTGGCTCTCTCACCCTTGTGATATGACTTTTGCTTGCCAAGACCGAACCTCGATAGTAGGTTGGAGCTGGCTGCTGTGAACATTTTGGCCGCTGTCCCGATTGATGGAGTTGACGATTGAGTTCGCCATCCCATGTATTCACCCGTCGCTAGAGTGAAGTCGACAACTGCCATGATTGAACTCGTTTGGTCGATCGCCATAGTTGATTGATCTGGTATCTCTGGCGGCTCTGTGTCTATGTATGTTGATGACCAATACCAAAATAAAGCTGGCACGTTTGATAGTTTCCACTGCCAATCGTTCTTCGTGAATGTCACTTCTGATATTGTTCGACCTCTCAACCAGGGTGTTCGCTCCACTGTAGGACGAGGCTCCCATATCACATGTGGAAAGACCTCTTCCTTCGTGGCTGTCATTGTTGGGGCTCTTGCTGGTGTCGAGGTTGTCGATGGGGTCGTCTGCTGTGTCGAGGCTGACGGTGGTGTGGTCGAGGACGTCGCTGGCGTTGCTGTGCTCGCCGCTCTGGTCTTTCTTGTTAGTCTGCGTGGAGTTGCATATACCGTTTGTACTGGATGTGGGGTGGGAGGGATTGGCAGTTGAGGATCCCCTTCTGCGTCGTCCATTCCACCTCCCCACGGATCTTCTTCCTGAATGTCCCAAGTAGGTTGTTCTTCTTGGTCTTGATGGTTGAGCTGCTCGTGGACCTCTTGGTAGTACCTGTTGAGCTGTTCTCCTCGTGGCTTGCGCCCGAAGATAAGTAGTGCCTCGGCAGCTCGTGCTTGTATAACATCGAGGAGCATAGATTGTACATCTTGCTCTCTCTTGATCCGTTCTTTGTGAGCGTCGAGGAACTCGCCGTCGACAGCTCTGAGTCTTGCTGCAGTGGTGGCTCGCTTGTCGGCCTCCTCGTTCTTGAGTCGGAGGCGCTTGTCAGCTTCAGATTCAGCTTCTTTTTGCTCCTTGGTTTGATGGCTTTGAATCTTCCGTGTCCTGAAGTTGTCGTGACCTTTGGCCTCAATAGCTGCCTTCAGTCGGGTCCATAGATCCCTGTGGGACTTGAAGTTCGTCTTCTGCTGGTTGATGATCTTGAGCAGCCCACGGCATACGTAGCTCGAGTCGGTCAGGTAGATGCTCCTCGTCCAGTTCCACAGAGCCCACCTCAAGGCGCTTCGAAGTTCTGCACGTTGGGCATTGTGTATTACTCCTTCCAGTCCAAGTGTACTGTTGTGGCTGTGTCGATCTCCGTAAAAGAGACCGCAGCCCGCACGCCTGAGCCTGAAGTCTGCCTGCCCAGGGACAGCGCCGTCGCCGGCTACGATGGCGTATCCCTCACTATCTACAGAGAGCTCGTCTTGACTCTCCATGTCTGGTGGTCGAGCTTCGTGAAGTTCGTGTGATTGTGGTGTGGCGATCTCCGCAAAGAAACCGTCGACGCGAGGATCGTCGAGGACCAGACCTGCAATCTTTGTAGCTTCAGGTAGTGCGTCGAAGTCGTAGTTTGGATACTTCTCATATAGCCACCGCCTGTCCTTATCAAAGTGGGTACACTTCCATAAAACATGAAGTAGAGTTTCTTCTTCTTTCCAGCAAAAGGGGCATAGGTTCGATGAACAATATCCTGCCGCGTGAAGGCGAGATGACGTGATCAAGCCCCCACTCCATAGAATACGTGCTGCTGCTCTCCTCTTTGCTGGCCATTTGTATTGAGTGATCTCCGTTGTGCCATTGATGTCACTTGATGCTCCTTGTCGTCGACGGCGCTGCCGTCGATATTGAGATACTGTGGCCTCATAGTCGATGGATTTCTCCAGCACTCCATTGAATTCATTTCGAAAATGATGGCCTGTCTTCGTCTTGACGTAGTATCCAGCTCTCCAGACATGTCTCCGCAAATCTTGTCGTATGATGTGCCTCCATAGTAGATCATCCCCTGCGAACAGAGATATGAAGCCACCTGAAGATCTCTCAATATTCAGTTGTCCGTCGATCTTCCATCTGAGATCTGAGCATATTTGAAGAAGGACCGAAGCAGGGCCATGTGATATGGCTTGTTGATCTCCTCGTTCGTGGTACTGCTGGAGTACTTCGATCAATCGCTGCCTCAGTCTCGCCCTTTTCTGCATCAACCTGCGTATAGTGATCAATGCCCAGTAGCGACTTGCCTGCCATGGATCTAATAGATGCCCGTGGCATGCCAACGTGAAGGTTGAGACTCGAGAACGATACATAACCTTGCCGTTCATCAAGATGCGATGTAATTTTGCTCCAAGGTGCTGACATGTTGTGCTATTGGGTAACTGCAGTTCTGAACCATAGAATCCAGCTGAGCTCCCATATATAGTCATACATTTTTCTCGCCATTCAAAGGAGCCTGGGCCTCGCTCCACACGTTCGAGGATGTGATGTAGTTTTGCATGGCGTCTTTGTAGTAGTCGTTGTCGTTCAGCTTGTGATCCTGTCGTACCGTCACATAAGATACCGCCCACTAGGATGATGGCCTTCGTGAATGTGGCTCCCTGATTGCTGAAAATGACATTGAGTTTCTTTCGCAAGGATATGGAGTTTGCCAATATCTTCGTCTTCTTAGCGTTCAGAGAGCAACCTGCCAATTCTCCGAACTCTTTTGAAACCTCCCAGGCCGTCGTGATAGAGCGGACCACCTCATTGATGTCCGCTGATGTCTTCAGAATGCTGCTGTCGTCGATGAAGCCCTGGGTGTCGCATGATGATTTTGCCATCACAGACTTTGTCCAGACTGCCATCAGAGATAATGCAACTGCTATGCTATAAGAGGGGCCCTCGAAATAGCCGGCCTTTCTTTGTGTACTCTCTTTTTCGATACTTCTTCCGAGCTTGAATCTGTATCGTGCTTCGTGAACCAATCTACGTTCTGCATTGAAGTAGTTGTGTGCTTCGTCCGTGGTCTCCTCGTGGTCCATGTGCTCAGTGATCAGCTTGTTGCCGATGTTGCGGTGGATCGTGGAGAAGAACTTTGACCAGTCAATCGACAGGCACGCCCCGAACGTACCCATTAATTGTGCAGATTCCATCTCCAAGGCGTGGAACACGGATACCTCCTGGGCCTCGTGCGTGGGTCGAGCCCCGTGCATCGCCTCTGGCATCCAGCTCTCTCTCCAAGGCGTGGTGTCGATCCATCTCACATGCTGCCATGCAGCAATCAATGGCGAAAAGTTTGAGATAATCCTGGTCTGTGATGCCGCAGGTAGTACAAGGTACTCTGGATTGTCATCATCTGCTTCTGGGGGGGTCTGCTTCCTCAATGCACTACAGTACACCTGGGTCAGTATACTTGGCCAAGCAGCTCCGTTCTCTATGTAAGTGAACATCTCTGTATAGAGTGCCGTGATGCGGAGAGGTAACGCCTGCAGCTCGCACACACGGAATCCGCATCCCGCTGCAGCTCTTTCGACCCTCAAGTGTCTTAAAGCTGAGTGGAAAGCTCGAGGACATAGTGTGCCGATCTTGCAAGGCCGCTTGTCGATGTAAGAGCCGAATGTGTTGAAGAACTTATGCCAGTCTCGGTCCTCGGCGTTATCGAAAATAGGCTGCCAAACTTTGCGGAGCTCGTGGAGTACGTCTTCAGGTACGACGGCATACTCTTTGTCTCCGCACTTGACTGCTGATTCTCTGGCATTCTCCCCTGGGCGTAGATCTAAAGCGAGTGCTGTGATCGGCTCATCTCGAGGAGGTCTCATGTGGTTCTTTAGTGTTCGTCGATCTGTTGTAGAGGCTGACCCCGTCATGGCCGCTGACATTTTGGCCCTCCATATTTTTATACGTGTTCTGACTGCCACATCCTCGTATTTCGTAATCTGTGCCTGGATCCGAGGGATGAGAGCTTCAACTTCAGGTAATGTGATCCAAGATTTGTCGAACAACGTGTCCGTGATACCGATCTTCTGAATGTCATGGACTGTCTTTCGCCATAGCTTGATCATCTCAGTACGTTGACATAGAGAATGTTGGTCTGTCCTCTTGTGTCTCTTGACGAGTTCATGTACCCGGCGTAGTGCTTTGTGTAGCGAGGCAGCCTTCTGGGTCCAAGGGTCTGATGCACAAGAGCGCGTTGATGCAGGACATGCCAGTGGTTCTTCGTGGAGGCGAACCGAGGTACATCTTCCGCTTGCTCCATTGTCCGATGATGTCCCTTTGCATCTTTCTGCAAGGTACTTCTCCGCTAGGGTCGTGGCTGTAGTCATCATGAGCTCAGCGTCTTTGTTGTCCCGAGCTTGCGTGATCTCAGCCTGGTGTGTGTTGAATAACTCGTTGAGATACGTCTCCTCCGTGTCATCGTCGAGTGGAGGAGCTCGATCCAACGGGAAGGCCTTCGGTACTTGAACTGTCCATCGTGATTGTGACAAAGCTCTGGTAGAAATTTCGATCCTGATCGGCAAGTGGCTGGGTAACTTAGCGTCCCTGATGACCTCATACTTGGTGATCATCTGTGCTGCAGCTCTGTTAGCAATGATCCGATCAGGACGAGTGATGTATTTCCCATGGCTCTCCCGATCCCACTTATCGAAGTCCTTCCCGCAGTATGTCGGGGCAGGGGGTCCTCCGATAGCAAATCGAGCACCGATATCTATGTATACTCCTGTTGCGATCGCGTCCTGGAGCACTACCGATCTGTCAGAGACGTTGGTGTCGGCACAGATGATGACTGGCTGCTCTCCACAGCTTATTCCATCTTCCAGGACTTTGTCTAAATGCCGTTCCTTGCGTAGTGTGGCTGCTGGACCGTGATCTGCGTCATTGTAAAACGAGACCAGGTGGAGGAAGTGTGTTGATGCCGTGCTCGTCCCTACGTATACAGGAAGGACCACTCGCATGTGTCGTGATAGTTCGTATACCTGCTTGGCTGCCGTCGTTCTCGCAGTACACGGTTGTAAGTTGAAGGAAGGTCGTCCCATGATGGCAACCCCACCGTGGATGGCTGTACATTCCATAGTCGGAGATGTCTTGGGACGAAGCTGCTTTACTGGTAGCGGCTTGCCTCCGATGAAGGACATGCCTTTTGTCTTTGCCAAACTCTCTGCTCGTTCCGTAGCCAAGGCTGTGAGCCTCGTCTCCTGAACCACATAGAGATCAGCGGGAAGTGAAAATAAGGAAGTGATATTCTTTTTCCAGGAAGTGATGTTGGCCGAGATCAGGACCAGCTTGTCCCGCTCGATCGTGGCCTTGCCTCTTGAGTTAAGCTGCGCCATTGCGGGTCGGACTGCGGCTTCTCCCGTCGTTGCGACGTCGTAGGGCGGCAAGCTCAGCTGATAGTTGTGCCTTCAACGTTCGCACCTCGTCCAGGGCTGCTTTGAGTTCTGCGTTGCGTGCGTCCATTCTCTCATCGACAGCTTGTTGAAAGGCAGAAACAGGTTGAGCTACTTCCTGTGGTGGCGTGTCAGTCGGTACTTGTCTCCTCATGGGGGCTGTATAGTACGATCCATTTCTTTGTTCCAGCACTGAGAAGGCGAACTGTTTCATCACAGATGTCGCTGCCGTGTGCTTTTTATTCATTATGACTGATGCGGCTTTGTCTTTGCTCATCACCGTCTTCTTCGAATCCTTCAGAAAGACTGAGTTGGGATCCTCATCGATGTCCATGACTTGAGACTTGTCCGTCATCTTTGTGATAGTGACCATATGTGTTCCGATCAAGAATGTGTCTCCTGGTGGAGGTACGTGGGCCTTGATCGTTATTCGCAGATATTTGCCTCTCCTTTGTGCTGATGGATATTGCACGACCCAGGACATGGTCTCCAGAAGTATCTTTGGAATAGCCTCTGTCGGTGTCCCAACGGGTATCTTGTCGAGGAGATATCTTTCTGTTGGCGGGGCGTCCTCTTTCCTGATGAGCTGCCATCCCGCAGTAGTATCTTCTTTCCGTATTCTTAACTTGATAGTCACCCCATCTCGGCACAGTTTCATTCCGTATGTGGGCTCCGATATTTTGTCCAGTTCCTCATGGGCTTCCTGCGTCGTCCAGTGTCCTGTCTGTTTTGCCCGTAGTGGGATCCAGGTCTCCGTTGTGCGCTCGCGATTCTTGCCATTCTCATCGTACCCTGCCGTGTCGAAGAAAATCCCGTCGGTACCTGATGATTGTCGAAGAATACGTGCCATTGAGGTTGTGGTCGTCACGTCGATGCGTAACGTAGCCTGTCCTTTGGCAGCTCCGTCATATTGCTTGATGGAGTTGATCGTGATGTCCAGGTCTGTTGTTGTAGCTGCCGAATAGACCTTCGTGATGTGTGCTTGAAGGAAGTCCTTGGCCTCTTGTTTAGCTGCTCGTACCAATTTCCAATTGTGTTTCTTTGCCTCGGCGTCTAAGTCATTGCCATGGTTTCTCAATCTGTCTAAAGACGAAGATCCGAGCTTGTGCTGCTTGAGAAGAGTCTTGTAGATCTCATCTGCGTGTATTTCTGATATCACAGCGATCGAGTTGGTGAATCCTTTTGACCATGCTGGAGCTGCTGGTGTCATAGCTCGGTACTTTGGCGGTTCCACAGGGTCGTCGCTGAGAGTAGGCGGAATGCTCCATAGATAGCCGTCTCGAGTTCCCACGATTGACTTGGTTGTCCCGTCGTTGTTCGTGGTCTCCTTAGTGACTGGTAGCTGGTATGGCACAGGCTTGATATTGTAAGCGATAGCCGCAGCTTTCAGGCATTCGGAAGGGGTTGAGACCGATAAAGCCACATAGTTGGGAAAATCCGTGTTGTTCTTGTCAATCCATTCCATTATATTGATAACATCTGCGTCGGACTTTGCGAGGTAGATCCCGTTCGACTCCGATGTTGGTGGTTCGTCTAAGACTGGGATTTCCCACATGTTCCGTAGTCTGAGGCCGCTCTCGTGAAGTCTCTCATTCGGGGGTGGCTTGTCCCCGTTGTGTGTCGTTGAGATCTTCTTCTTTTTAGGACGCTTGGTCGATGGTTGGCCGTCCTCACCTCGTGGGGATTTGTCCTGTGACCATTCATTGAGCTTGGCTTTGATCTCGGCCTTCTTAGTGTCGAAGTCTGTCGAGAAAAGTTTGTAGATCATGCTGAATTGTTTGGAGTCGCTTGCCAGCTGCTTCTTTTGTTTGTCCGTGAGTGTCGTTGCAGTGGCTGCGCACATGATATTGACTGTCCGAGTGTTGGCAGTGATCCGAGCAGCTGATCCGGTCTTCGGTGCGAAACCAGACCTGCGTGCTGGTGGAGTGTTGCCATGCTCGGCGTGGTATTGAGACTGGGCGTCCTGCTGCGTCTGGTGGGATCTGGCATTCTTGACTTTTCGGAACCATGGGATCCGAGCCGTTGTCCATGAGATGCAGAAGGAGCCGTCATTGGCGAGATTGGGAGTGATGGGCCTCAGCGCGACATCTTTCTCCCAGGCGTTTGTAGCCTCCAGGTTAACACCTGTCCAGTCAGAGAGATCCACAGGCCGTGGCTGCCCTTGGTTCTCCCTCATATTGCAGTCGTGTTGCCCGTTGTCGGTAGGACTGAGAGGTATGCACTCGTCGGATGGAGTCGTGGCAATCTTCTCCCAGGCTGCAGTTGTCTCCAGGTTAACACCTGTCCAGTCAGGAAGGGACATGAGCTGTGGCTGCCCTTGTCTCTCCCTCATGGTGCAGTTGCTGCCCTCGTCGTTCATGTGGTCGTTCGTCTTCTGGATCCTGTAGATGTCCGTCGTGTGAGTCACGATGACCTGCTCTGTATTGTGATCCGATCTTCCAAAACTTGAATCGATCCGATTCCCTGTCGTATTGAAATAGCTGCACATCGTGTCGTCGATCAGCGCCTTCTCAAAATTGCCAACCTCATTTGAGAGGTTGCCCCAGTCAAAATCTGAACCTGCACACGGTATCTCAGGGAGACAGTTCGTGTCGTCGAGGTTCACCATCATCTTGATACCCATTGTCGTGATAATGTATCGAATGACCATCCCGACCGTGAAGTCGTCAAAATTGCCAACCTCCGTTGCGAGGTTGCCCCTGTCAAAATCTGAACCAACCCACGGTATCTCAAAGAGACAGTTCGTGTAGTTGAAGTTCACCGTCATCATGATACCCATTGTCATGATACTCGAAGCGATGCTCTTGATGCCCCACATCAAGATGAAAATAGCTGTCAGTAAATACACTGACCATGAAACCCACCAAGGAATTGATGTGCACGAAGGTTCACGCTTCTCCCCTGTGGCCGTCTCGCTGGAGACGCCGTCGTTGCCAGCCTCGGGCTTCGTCTTGATGGTCGTGACGTCGCTCATCGAGGATATATCATTGCATTGGTCGATCCAATTCGTCTCCCCCATCACCGTGAACATGATAAGGTCGTCTACCTCCGCCGTGCTCTTGAAGATCGTCGAGGACTGCCCGATGATCTCGAGCAGGGGCTGGATGTTGCTGTCCACCACCACGTGGTTCAGCTGGAGGCTGTTGTCTGGCTTCAGATCCCGGTGCACGATGCTCTTCGAGTGCAGGTAATCCGCTGGCCCTCGCCAGGGAAGGCGACCGAACTCCGCGCCCTCGCGCCGCAGGGGGCGCGAAGGCGCGGTGACCTCCGCGCTCTCGCCCCGCCCCGCGGACTGTGAACCGCGGTCATCTCCGCGCCCCCTGCGGGTGGTCTGGGCGTGCCGCGCCTGTCGTCGTTCACGCAGGAAGTTTCGAGAGGGACGCGCGCGCACAACCACGCACGCGAACATGTTCTCTGGTTTGCGAGGCCGCTCTCGTGGTACGAACGCTCGCGCGGCGCGCTCTCTCGAAACCCGTGCGGCCGAGGCCCAAACGCCGAATCCAAAAATGTAAGCGTTTCCCTCATGCTTCCGCCGGCCTTCCGCCAACTTCCACCAGCGGGCCCGCCGTCTGAGTTCCGCTGGCCCCCGTTATGTAGGAACGCAGAAATGTTTTTGCAGTCTGGGGGGAAGCGCAACAGCGCGCATTAGTGCGCAAGAGTGCGCAACAGCGCGCGAAAATGGCCCGCGACAGGCGGCGGATCCGGCATAATGGGCAATGGCGGAGTCGGGGGGGTAGGCGCGCGAAGTAGGGAAGCGCGCAAGAGGGTGAAGGCGGGCAGGGGCGATTACAGTGGAGCAAGGGGCCCTTCGACCCGCGGCGTTCACGCGAGCTGGACCGGACTGATCGGACGCGGTGGCGCGGGGGGCAGCGCAATAAGAGCGGGCCGCGGTGATTCTGAATACGTGAGCGCACGCATGCGCGTGCATGAGGGCATACAGATGCGCGCGCACGCGTGCATACTATGTGAGAACAATCCAGGGGGGTTGCATGGGCGACGGCGGAAAAAGGACACGCGACGCTGGAAGGTTGGCAAGGGGAAGAACAGATCAGAGAATGGATGGATTCGTCTTGTGTTCGGAAGTCGGTTTTCTGCTATGTATGGGACCAAGGGGGCCAGGCGGACAGCGACGATGACGACAACGACGACGACGACGACGACGAGGGCGACGAGGACGAGGGGGAGGGGGAAGAAGACGACGACGAGGGGGTGGAGGGCCAGCACCCCCATCCGTCCTATCAGCCCAAACCAAGAGCAAGGGAAGAAGGAAGAAATGCATCGGAGTGACATTGGAGCCATATTGAAACAATATTGGGGTCAACTTGGGTTTAAAAGAAATCATTTTGGGGCAATCTCGAAGTCGTCTCGGACTCATGGGGTCGTTCTGGGGCCACCTCGGAGTAAAATCGGGGTCACACAGTAGCTGTAGTTCAGTCGGAAGACACTGGGTTCGTCTCGGTGTTCTCTTGGGGCCGCAGGGTTGCTCTGGGGTCATATTGGGACTATTGCTTAGCAGGGGTGGGCATCTTGGGGCGACAAGGGAAATCTTGTGATCCTTTCAAAACCTTGTTGGGCCCATCTTGGAATCATCTTTCCGTTGCTGCATCTCTCATTGCTGCTACAGATGAATGTTGTTGTTGCTGCTGGCGTTGATGCTGCTGGTGCTGCGGCTGCCCGTTGTGTTGGTGCTGGTGCCGTGTTAAATGTCGGGCCCTCTTGGAGGGCCAAGAATTCAAAGCACATGGTCAGAGAGGCCCCCGAACTCAAAAACTGCGCTCTCGCTCGAGACTTTCCCGTAATTCAAACAAGTTGGTGGAGGCCTGGACACGGCGACAAGGGCTCCCGTTCGATCTCCCATAGGTATTCCGAGAGCCCCTGGCCAGAGAGGCCTCCGAACTCAGGAACGGCGCTCTCGCCCGAGACTTCTTCGCACTCCAGTCAGTGGCCGTCAAGGAAGAGATTCACACCGAAAGGGGGTGCAATCAAAAACGAAGTGGGCGGGTATCGAGGGTTGGGGTATACGGAATGTACGACACGCGTGCCAGTAAGAGCGAACAGTCTTTAAATGATTGATGTTGTTGTTGTTGTTGTTGTTGTTGTTGTTGAACTCTCACTACTGAAGAACAAACATTGTTGATCTCCCCCGCCAGTGCATATTGCACTCTTCAATTGAAGTGCCCCTCCCGGCGCTCGCACCCTGCTTTTTATCAGGGAAGGTCTTCCTCATCAAACTGTGCCTCTGGCCCCCAGTTTACAACAACAGCAACAATCAGTTTAAGACTGTTCGCTCTTATCTGCTCGAGTGTCCAATAACGCGTATTTCCCAAACCCTCGATACCCGCCCTCTTCGTCTTCGATCGAATCCCTTCTGGGAATATACCTTTCTTCCCTGCAGGTCGGGCCCCGGCAAGCGGCGGGGCGGCCGCGGACCGTCGGTCTGGCCAGCGGCAGCGCTGATCGGCGGGGCGGCCGCGGACCGTCGACCCGACCCCAAGAGGGACGAACAGGAGACCCACCACGACGACGACGACGACGACAACGACGACGTCGACGACGACGACGACGACGACGACGAGCGAAAGCGAGAGCGAGAGAGAACGACAGCAGGGCCACGAAGGACGCGAAGTAGGCCACGAAGGGCGACAGCGGGGACACGAAGGGAATGCGTATGGGGCCACGAAAAGCGCGAACGAGCGGGGGCCATGAAGGGCAGATAATGCGGGGCCACAGAAGGCAACGATGGGGCCAGTGAGGGAAGCAACTGGGCCACGTAGGACAGTGAGGCGGCCACAAACGGCGACAGCGGGGCCACGAAGGGCATGCACATGGGGCCACAACGGGCGCGAACGAGCGGGGGCCACGAAGGGCATACTTATGTTGGGCCGCGGAGGACAAGGACGGGGCCACTGAGGGCAGCAACGGGGCCACGAAGGGCAGCGAGGAGGCCACGAAGGGCGACAGCGGGGCCACGAAGGGCATGCATATGGGGCCACAACGGGCGCGAACGAGCGGGGGCCACGAAGGGCATACATATATGGGGCCACGAAACAAAGCGAGGGGGCCACGAAGGGCTGCAACGGGGCCACGACGGGCTGTAACGGGGCCACGAAACAAAGCGAAGGGGCCACGAAGGGCTGCAACGGGGCCACGAAGGGCAGCGAGGGGGCCACGAACGGCTGCAATGGGGCCACGAAACAAAGCGAGGGGGCCACGAAGGGCTGCAACGGGGCCACGAAGGGCAGCGAGAAGGCCACGAAGGGCTGCAACGGGGCCGCGAAACAAAGCGAGGGGGCCACGAAGGGCTGCAACGGGGCCACGAAACAAAGCGAGGGGGCCACGAAGGGGTGCAACGGGGCCACGAAGGGCAGCGAGATCCCGATTCCTAGGTAGTCTATGAGGGGGTCCTACGCGTGAGCGCGACTCCTGGGTGCCTGGATGTCGGGAGCGCGGCGCTTGAGTAAATTGCAAGAAATTCCAACGCAAGGGCGCTATTCGTCAGTAGATTGCGAACAAATCTCCAGCGAGAGCGCGACTCCAGAGCGCCCGGAAAGCGATTCCTGAATAAATTGTAGGGGAATCCTAAGCGAAAGCGCGATTCCTGCACAAAATGAGAAGAAGTCTCGGGCGGGAGCGGGGGTCGTGGCTAAATTGTGAGGAAGTCTCAGGCGGGAGCCGTTGTTCTTGTAACCTGGGGGCCACAGGCCCAGTTTGAGCATCAAGACTTTCCTGCCAGAAAACAAAATGCGAGCGTCGATGGGGCACACTTTAATTTAGAAGAAACAATATGCACCGGTGGGGGGGACCAACAATAATTATTTTCAAAAATGAGAATTCAACGGCTCCCGCTTGATACGTCCTTGAAATTTACTCTGGTCCCCCGCTCCCACTTGAGATGTCCTCGCAATTTACTCGAGAATCGCGCTCCCGCGTAAGACTTCCTCACAATTTACTCAGGCGCCGCGCTCGTGCCATTTAGGAATCGCGCGTTCGAGTGGGACTTCCTGCAATTTACTTAGGGATCGCTCTCTCGCTGGAAACTTCCTGGCTAATCACGCAGAACTCACGATCGATCCGCCCGCTCGGCCCGCCCGTCAGGGTCTTACCCTTCGTGCCTATGCTCGCTCGCGCCCTTTGTGCCTCATTGCTGCCCTTCGTGGCCCCTCCCCTTGTGGCCCAGTCGCTGCCCTTCGTGGCCCCGATGCTGCCCTCAGTGGCCTCTCGCTGCCCTTTGCGTTCCAAATATACGCCCTTCGTGGCCCCCAGTCGCTCGTGCCCTCAGTGGCCCCGATGCTGCCCTTCGCGGCCCCAGTGTAGCCCCGTGTGCCTCCCCCCGTTGCCCTCAGTGGCCCCCTCGCTGCCCTTCGTGGCCCATATATACACCCTTCGTGGCCCCCAGTCGCTCGTGCCCTCAATGGCCCCATTGCTGCCCTTCGTGGCCCCAGCGTAGCCCCTTTGTGGCCCCCCCGCTGCTCATTGTGGCCCCCTCGTTGCCCTGAGTGGCCCGTATGTTCGCCCTTCTTGGCCCCCCGTCGCTTGCGCCCTAAGTGGCCCCCTTGCTGCCCTTCGAGGGTCTCTCCTCTCTCTCTCTCTCTCTTTTACCTTTCTCACTCCTCTTGCTCTTTTAGGGGCTGCGCCCAATACACGTGGCAGGTCAAGAAAATGTGCCACCCAGAGGGGGTACGATCGAAGACGAAGAGGGCGGGCATCGGGGGTTTGGAATATACGTGGTGAGGTACGCGCGAGCAGATAAGAGCGAACAATATTACATTGATTGTTGTTGCTGTTGTGGTTGTTGGTTGTTGGTTGTTGTTGCTGTTAGGTGTTGTTTTGTGGTTTATGTTGTTGTTGCTGCTGTTTTCGTTGTTGTCGTTTGTTGTTGCGGGTCGCTGTCGTGCTGTATACCGTCATTTCAAGGGTCGACGCCCACGCCATTGCACCAGACCGATTGTACCAGGTAAAAAACGCACCACATAGATTGCACCACGTCGACTGCGACCACAACATGCATTGCACCGTTTAGGTTGCACCACGTCGACTGCGCACCACCAATTGTGCACCTCATAAATTGCTTGACAAATCATTCTGCTCCCCGGAATGAAACGCGATCCCTGTCGGAACGGGGGATTCCAATACAAATCATCACATGTTTGGGCGGCGAGAAAAGCCTGATCCCTGGTTTCTGATACTTGGAATGGAACGCGATCCCCGTCGGAACGCGCGAGCCACCTTGAACCCACGGGACCCACAATTTCGTGTTGGAGGGGAGGGGGGAGGCATGGCCCCCCCCCTATTCCATTAACAAACTGTGAGCCACGTGGATTCAAAGGGGCGCGTGCGTTCCGACAGGGATCGCGCTCCATTCTGGGGATCAGAAACCAAGGATCAAGCTGTCCTCGCCGCCCAAACATGTGATGAGCTGTATTGGAACCTCCCGAGAACCTCCCGTTCCGATAGGGATCGCTCTCCATTCCAGGGGCCAGAAACCAGGGAGGCTGTTTTCGCCGCCCAACATGCGATGATTTGTCCAATAGTCTATGAGGTGCACAACTGGTGGGGCGCAGTCGACGTGGTGCAACCTAAATGGTGCAATGCGTGTTGTGGAATATATGTGGTACAATCTGCGTGGTGCAAGCTACGTGGTGCAACATATGTGGTGGTGCGCAACTTACGTGGTACATTTGGTCCGGTGCAATCTATGTGGTGCAAAATGTGTTTTTGTTTGATGGCAAGCGTCGAGCCTTCAAACATACGGTATATAAACGACAACGAACCGCAAAATTAAATGTCAATAGCGACGTTAGCAGCAGCAGCAACACCTATACACAACACCAGTAAGCAACAGCAGCAACAGCAACAACAACAATAGCAATAACAGGAACAACAACAACTACAACAAACGACAACAACGACAACAGCAGCAGCAACAACTACAACTACAATTACAACTCCAATACAACTACAACAACTGCAACAACAACATCAGCAACAACATCAACAACAACAGCAGCAAAAACATCGCTTCTCGGCCCCCGAGAGGGTACCAAGACACCTCCGAGAAGCCCCCAAGACGCATCAAGGGTTCCACAGGACCCCCGGGAGGCCCTGAGAGGCCCGCAAGAAACCCCAACTGACTTCAAGAGGCGCCCGAGAGGCCACCATCAGACCCCCAGAAGCCGCCCCTTCCTCCGCATCTCCAAGAGGTCCATCCCCCCTCTTCCGCCATCCTCCCCACCGTCTTGGAGTCCCCCAAGAAAGCTCCAAGAGGGCCCCGAGAGGTCTCCAGGTCACCCAGAGATCGTGCTGCAGCATCTCAAGGTGACCCGGAAACTTTTCGGAACCCTCCTCGAGTTTTCTCAAGGCCCTTTTGGAGCCTCCTTGAACGCTCCAAAGCCATCCTGGGGCCCCCCAAGAGAGCTCCAAGAGGGCCCCGAGTGGGGTCACCAGGGGACGTTTTTGCAGAATTTCCGAATTCCATGAAAATGTTGAAAGAATCAGCAAGAGCGTGTTTTTTAGACAGTCGGCTTTGAAATCGCTACGAAACCGAAGGTTTGTGACGGATTTCGGCATGCGCGCGCGACGACGCGCGCGCACTTCATTTCACTTTTTGCAAAGGATTCTCGCGACGGCAAGCGCGCAAGGGCGCTCGAACGATTTCGACATGCGCGCGCGAAACCCGTTTGGTTGCATTTTCTAAAAATGATGAACAGCATATGGTTTTCTGAAGAATTCGCAAGGGCGCGCGCAAGCTTTGTTTGAACATCCGTGTTGCGAAACCATGCGCTTTTTTATTTTAAAACAATGTTTTTGACACTATTTGAAATCTTTACGAAACCGACGGCTTTGAAGGATGTCGGCATGCGCGCGCGACAACGCGCGCGTGTGCACTTCGTCTCATCTGTTGCAAGGGATTAAAACCAACTGATGACCCTTGATAAACGAGCGCGCGCATCATATTTGTTGCTGGGGGTGGCGGGGGGGCGGGTACCGGCTCGGCTGGGATGGTGTGAGTTCACATTTCGGATGGACGGTGGGACAGTAACACATGTACATTGCAATACGAAAAAGAAGGGCCGATAATCCAGGAAGGGGGGCTTGAGACTATTCTCTTTTAGGAAAGGAGATTCTATGCGACGGCGACGGCAGCAACGGGCGACACTGCTCGCAAAAACCGCTAGTCGCCCCGAGCGGCGGCGACGGCGGCGGCGGCGGCGGCGACGGGCAGCACCGCCCACAAATGCCGCCACTCGCCCCGAGCGGCGGCGACGGCGACGGCGTTGGCGACGGCGGCGACTGGCGGCACCGCCACTCGCCCCGAGCGGCGGCGACGGCGGCGACGGCGACGGCGACGGGTGGCACTGCCCGGAAGAGCCGCCATTCACCCCGAGACGGTTAAGCCAAGTAAGAACCCCTAAGTGCAAACACTGTTTGGGGAATGTGGTTCTCGCCTTAGCGCAGCGCACATTTGTCTTACGCAAACGCTGTAGCAACTTCAAGGATGGAGGGCGGGCGGTTTTCAAAAGATAGATCTCCTCAGGGATGGTGTTCTTAAACTGTCAGGATGCACATTCCATGTTGATTCGCGGTGGTGAAGTCCCAGGGATGATGTCCTGGCATGGTTTCGGATGATCAGGACGCAGCAGACACGTTGATTCGCAACGTTGAAATCTCAGGAGCGGTGTTTTGGCAAGACTCGGGATTCTCACACGGGGCTCTTTCCAGCGCTGGAGATAAGTTCTTGTAGGGACCCACGACGAAGGAACTTGGAGGGAGGGTTTATTGCAACATCGTTGATGCGTCCCGGGTCTGCACTGGTCCTCCTCTTCCTCTTCCTCCTGCTCCTCCTCCTCCTCTGCGCCCTCCTCGCCCTCCACGGGACATCCGAGTGCGCGCGTTGCCCAAGACGGTGCCGCGAGACTCCTCGCCTGGGCATGCGGCGGGGCGGCGCAGGGCCCGTGGCACCGATGGCCGAGGTGAGCATCCCGAAGAGGCGCGCGGCGGCCCGCTCCGCGTAGCAGCCGTTGGTCATGATGTCGGAAGACGAAAACTCAGCACAGACATAAGGTCAGGAACATGGAATTTTCGGAGACCTCCCGAGGTCTGGAGGTTTTCCCAGCCGTCCAAGATCTGCCCCCTGCCGCAAAACGGCCGGATCGCTTCTGCAACCCACATGAAAAAAGATACTAAACGTAAACTGGTGGAGGCCCGCGCAGATTTGCTGCGAGGGCGCTGGAGACCCCCCTGGCGGCGCCTCTGGCGACGCCCTGGGCGCGCTCCGTGCGCCAGGACAGGGGACCCAGCGCCAACCCAGCGCGGTCCTCCGAAAATTCATGCTTATGCAAGTTTGTTCTTCTTCGATCCGTTGTGGAGACCGTCTTCACCCACTCTGCTGGTCGTTTACCCTCCGTGTTGGAGGCTCGGGAATCTCTAGGCCGCCTGACTCCTGCTTCTGCTGCGCGCCAGACATGTCCCTGATCGCGTGCTGGTCAAGATGTCGAAGCGGATCCAGCTGTGTCGACGAGAGCCCTCTAGGAGGCCACAGAGAGGCAAGCAATGTCAAATGTACAGCTCCTCCGCGCGCCTCCCCCTCGAGGTTTCCGGAAACCTCTGATCAGGCCTCTTAAGCTCTCCAGAGCTCTTTCTCCTCAACCCTCCCTCCTCTAGGAGAAACCCATCGCATGCACGTAAACCGATCCTGGGCAGGCCCATCCTGGGCCCAGGATTTGTGCACACGCCCTGCTGGCTTGACCCTGGGGCACAACACGGACCTGACCAGGACGGATGCATGCGCATGCGGGTGCCGCCATGCTTATCGGAGAGGGAGGCGGGCAAAGGCTCGTGACGTTGATGCCAAGGGACCGAGATGTGGTCAGCGTGTCGCACCGAAGCGCTAAGCAAGACTTCCCGACCGTAGAATTCCGGAGGTCCGCCAGTACTTCTTGGGTCGGCGCTGGCCCCCCCTCCCTGGCAGGGGCGGCGTCAGAGGTGACGCCAGGGAAGTCCAGCGCACATCCACGAATTCCGTGCGGAACTCCGAGCGTTTGTGTTTGTGCTGGTTTGGCTCTTCGAGATGTAATCCAGGAGGTCTCCCCCCTCCACGAGCTCCATCACGAGGAAGAAGTGCGAATCCGTCTGAAACCTCGGCCGCACGGATTTGGTGGCGTGCGTCCAGGGGTGGGCTTCCAAGGGAAGGCTCTTTGGATTTTTGTCGCCACTTTGTCCCGCATGGCCACGGCTGGGGGCAGCTCGACAAATTGCCGGGATGGACCCTGGGAGGGACCCGGGGGTCCGCTCCGAGGGGATGGTTGCCCGGGGCAGCGAGAACCTGTCTGCAGCCTCGGCTGTGTTTCACGAGGCGCCGCGGAGCTCTTGCAGTGTTACCAGACGCGGGCAGGATGGGGGCGAGAATGGCCTAGAGGATTGACAACCTCCAAAACGAAGGCTCGACCTGCGTTCTTGATGCCTTCTTCCTCCATTCTGGAAGGTTTCAACTCTCCAGGATGAAGGTTGAACTCCGAAATGAAGGAGACGCATACAGCGGCGTGACGAGAGTTCCTTTGAAGTTTCGAGCGCCGTTGACGTGCCAAAACAGCATCAGACCCCCCTTGCTCCCTAAGAATCCTACCAAGAAGGGCCTTGCTAGGCCCCCCCCCAGAGGCGGGATAATTAGGCCCTTCTGGCCCAAGTGCGTAATAACAATCCAACTTCGATCCCAGACTGAATCTATTCTGTTCAAATGTCACATAAAGATCTGTATCCCAGGCTGTTCCAGATCCTGGCCTAATGATCCCAATGGTTCTCCAAGTGCGGAACAATGATCCCAAGGTCTTCCTGACTTTCACCCTTCGGTGATG